CAAATATATATATATGTGTATATATACAAATATATATATATATATATATGTACATGAATACGCATATGTATATATATATAAATATATATATATATATGTGTGTGTGTGTGTTTGTTTTATATATATATACACGAATGTATTCATGTATGTATAAAAAATAAATAATTACATATATATATATATCTGTGTCTGCGTCTGTGTATATGTTTGTATGTATATATGTGAATGTATATGTATATATATACATTTATATATATATATATATATATATATTGTATTTATATAATATATATATATATATACACTATAATATATATATATATATATATATATATATATATATAAGGCGGATTTGCATATGTATTTCTTTTTTTGTATGACAATGTATATCGCGTGTACTGAAATTTACGATGCTATTTATATATTTTTTTCCTACATATACTTGACTAATTTATTATTACTTTATAGATGCTCGCATTAGGGGTTTAAAATCATGCTCGTAGTGCGCCTCTCCCATTCGGATGAAGACATACTGACACTTCCTTCGTCCGACGTGACAGCATTGAACACACCGCTGTTGTTGTTATCACCTTCTGCTATATTGCCAACGATCGTGGCGCCAATGTCTATCACCACTTTCCCTTTAAGGGTTGTGCTGGACCACCGACCCCAAATACCGCCGTCATTCATAGCTCTATTGTTCTTGAAGGTACCCTGTAGCATGAATAGACTACCTTCCATGTGTATGTTTGTACCTACAACGCCTCCTCGACCTTCAGATATGTTGTCAATATACGAGCCTTTGAGTACAAAGGTCGCACCGCTGTAAAGTTTGATACAGCCTAAAGCTCCAAATCTCGAGCCGTTGCCTTCCTCGGCGGCTATGTTTTTCGTGTAAACTCCGTTGTCGGTAAAAGTACCAAGAATAGCTTGAATTTGAACTGCACCTCCTTGATTGGCCTGGTTACCGTTGAATCGAGCTGTGATATTCACTCTCCCTGCCATCCAATCCAAGTAGAGCGCACCGCCGCCAGCATGTTCAGTGCCAGGACTTGGGAAGTACGCTCTATTGTTTGTAAATTGACCGGCTATGTCCAAAGTACCTGATTCTGGGAGACTGATGACAGCGATGGCTGGGCCTCCGGCCCATCTGTCTCGATCTGTTGTGGTGGTGAGTAGATTCTCAAACAAACACTCATCGTCCACTACCAATTCATAAGTCCCAATAAGGAAAATACCAACTCCTGACTCTTCGCTCTGCATATCGTGAATGTGAATGTTGGTACAGAGAAGCTGCACTTTTTGTCGTTTACCCTCACCCCCCAGATCAGTTTTGCTGAGGGAGTGGAATGCGGCCACATACTGGCCCTCGGATTCACTGGTGATTTCTAGATCCTTCAGAACAACCTCCTGTTTGCTAGGGTTGGTTGCCACGAACATTGCACCAGTTTTTGTCTCGAAGCTCGATACAGCCACGATCTTCGCCCTTTTGTTTGCGCTATCACACGCGTGACCCTGCAAAGTCACACTCGTATCAAACTCTATCGTTTCCGATACCTCCACTACGGCACCCCCTACGTGTATAATTGAGCCGTCCGTGGAATCATCAAACGCGTTCTCTAGTGTATCGTAGCAAGAGTTATCATAGTATACGCCATCGTTACAATCGCAAACCTGGTGCACTGAAGTTTTGAGCTTCGGAGACGGAGTTGGAGAAGGAGTTGCTGAAAGAGTTGTGCTTAAATCGTTGTCTATAGCCAGAATCAAGTTTGCCAGATAGGATGCCTCGCAGTCTCCTAGTCCAAGATAGTACTTCTCATTCTGTGTTTTCCCTTCTGAATTCGTAGCTAGGTATGCGCACTGTCCGCTTGTGACATCGTTCAGCAAAATAACCGGTTCCTCTAGACTGCTGTCGCTTTTGTTTACAGCGAATGTTTCCCAACGCTCTGATGTGGTTTCGCATTTAGATTTGGTTGCAGATGACGAGTCGACTCCAATGTAGTTATTTGTACCGTCATGTAATAACGATAGACAGAGTTCTTCCCCGAATTCATCGACAAATCCAATCTGGCCTGGCCTGATCCAATTGTAGACCTTTCCCGTTTCTCCGTTTTTAAAGAATTTATCACTAAGACTGTACTTTGTTGCTGCGTTGTCTTCACTCAATATTCTAGCCTCAATAGTGAACGTTGGCGATTGTAATGATCTACCTGTGGTAAGACTCACGGCGCTTAAGACTGCTATAAGACTTGCCAGGCTGAGATTAGTAGACATGATTTAAATTTTACAATGCAATAGCAATTGGCTAGTTGCTGAATATATTTGTAAATGTGCTCGTATTTTCGTTGGAGACATTACTTTATATACTTTCAATTCTGCATACGCGAACGTGCTTTTTTCATATCGCAGAACCGGCTACAGTATTTATTTCTGGGGGAAATCATGAGAAATGGTCAAATGGCATGGCAACTGCTAGAGTAAACCATACATTTGTTTTTTTGTAAAAATTAAACAGAGTTAGCACTACATATCTATTTAGTATTTGTGCGGGAGATAAAATATTTGCGCAACAAGAGAACAACAGGAATTGCATTTCGCATAAAAAAACATATCTAAAGATCCGCTACAGATTTCCGAAACGGAATTAATATTGGTTGAATGGCTATGACGCAAGTTTTTTTGGGATACTTATAACCAAAATATAATTTTGAAAAGAAAAAAATATGTGTGTCCCTCCCACCCAGTGAGATCCACCGGCACGGTGGCACCCCCAGTCCCCAGTGGCCAGAGGCCCAGGCTGAGACCCATGCACCCCCAAGAGGCGGGCACAAGGCCCCAAGGCCCCAAGCTCCCAGGGCCCAGACTCCAGAGTTTCACTCAAGCACCAACACTGAACTCTCCCGAGTCCCAAACTCCCGACGAGAGAGAGGCCATGCCCATCGGTATTCAGTAATCACTGATTTACTTTTCAGGCGTCAGTGATCTGGCCACGAGAGAGAGGAGAGTGACAGACTGACAGAGTCAACTAAAACTGCCGAAGAGTGTTCTTACTTCACACTTCAGTTCACAGCTGCACACAAGCCCGAATGCCGCGTTGCCGACTGCGCGAGTTAATCTCAGCGGACAGCTCATAGGAGTCATAGCCTCCCCTAAAAAGAACAACAGGCCGACAGGCCGACACAGATTTACCTAAAACTTTTTAGGGTTTCGACACCCGACAGTTTGACAGTAAAATAATGAAATAGGGCTTTTAAATCCGCTAATGGCCGTAGCCTTTCTTTCTTTTTTTAATTTTAAATTAGACTTTTCTTTATTAGTAGTTTTTTATTATAAATATGGTACTCGGAACCAGTAACATAAATAGCCTTCAGAAGAAGAAAAAAATTACTACGAAAATATTCAAAAGCTGGTTTTGTACAGATCTCGTGTCCACAGTCCACACTCACAGCTTACTCCGTAGTCCACACTCCACAGGCAGAGTAACAATTGTTCTATACAATTTTTTATATACAAAATAATCATAATATATACAGTACATAGTAAACAGTACTGTTTGTGTGTGTAATATTTTTTTTAAATAAACAACAAATATTTTAGACTCAACTGTACAATAACTATTTTTTTTTAAATTACACACAGCGAGAGCTTGAGAGGGATAGGGGAGAAGGACAGTCTGCCGATTTCTACTTCAAATAAAAAAACACAAATAAACCACCCGTGGCCCAGAGCCTCATGAAGTGTTCAGTTGTTCTGTGCAGTAACTCAGTCAGAGACTCATCACGGTCATCAGGGCCTCAGTCAATACTCAATAGCCTTATTTATATTTAACGTTTTGGCGTCATGTATATAAAAGTCGACTTTTAAACGTTTAATGGATTATCTTTTAGCGTTGCAACGTACAGTATTTCAGTATAGTTTGACCTGTATGGTGTGACCTGAATAGCTCACCTATTCTATAATTTTTGGTCTCGATATTTGATATCAGAATGTGTTGTCAGGACAAAAATCTTGTATCGTTTGTATGATATATTCCAATTGCCTGACCTGGAATTTGGCCCCACTAACGGGATATTGAAATGGAAGTATAAATACGTTTGATTTTCAACAACATTTAAGGGATCATTTATTTGCGTTGCAACTTTTTTTATTTTTAAAATAACAATATGAGGTTATGCGGTAAGGCAGAGCCCCAACAGTAACTCCACATTCCATAGATTTTTGAGTCACTGATCAGTCACCAGTGACCACTACCCACTGTGGCTGCGTGGCACTGTGCCACACAGCCCAAACTGCCACCACAGTGAACAATGAACTGACAGTCTGAAACGGACACAGATTACGGAATACGAAGTCACTCACGAGTCACCAGTGAGTGACTGTCTCTAAATTATTTATAGTCACTCTCAAGCTCTCACACAACATATGTCACTAATATCAAGTATGTATGACAAGTATTCAGTCCAGTGACCAGTCCAAACTCCAAACTCCAAAGTCGTGAAGTCCACAGATATTTATTACACTTTACATATTTACAGACTTTCGGCACAAACCACCAAACAGTGGTAGGACCCGCAGTCTCCCCCTCTATGCTGGTGGTACTAAATACAAATTGGTCCAAACGGCTCTGGTCCATTTTACTTGTCCCCAATTGTTTTCTGAACCTTTTTCTGTCCTTAGAGTGTCTGAGTCTCTGAGATTGTCATTGGCTGTCCGATTGTCCCTCGGGAGACACCATTATCTCGTCGTTGATTTAAAAATATTTACACCATTATATCTTCGTTGATTTATTTTTTTCCGCTTGAAGTTTTTTTCAAAAACAAATGCCTTCTCTTCTTGTGTAATTTTCAGAAGACTATGATGTCAATGTAAATACGTATGTAAATAAATATTGAAATTTTGTGAATGAAAACATAGCCTTCTGAATTATACAAGAGAAGGCTACGTAAATATGATGAAAACTATATTTTAAAATAATGAATGCTGGGTCCTGCGGACTTGGGTCCGTCAGCCTTAATTTCTTTTTCGAGATTTGTTAAGATTGCGACCACTATGACTGCGACCGCTATGACTGCGACTCTCGACTGCGACTACTATGCTTGCAACTCTCGACTGCGATCACTATGCCTGCGACTCTCGACTGCGACTACTATGCTTGCAACTCTCGACTGCGACCACTATGCCTGCGACCGGGTCTTGCAACCACTATGCCTGCGACTCTCGACTGCGACTACTATGCCTGCCTCTCTCGCCTGCGACCAGTAAGTCTGCCTCTCTCACAAATGTTTTTATTGTCATACCTACGGAGAGGGTTACAGAATAACGGAGTGACGGAGTAGTAATAGTATTATTATAAATACCTACCGTGCAGCCGACACAAGGGAGAAATATATAAATGGGATACGCCGTTGAGAAGTATTTGTCATTATTGAATGAGAAAGAACGATGTGCCCCTAATAAACCGGCATGGTGTGGCACATGGGCTTTGTGTAACTAGGTATGGACTATTCATTGTCTGTCGGAAGAATGTATCAACAACAAAATATGACAATTCATAATCATGACTTTATACTCATAATTTTTATTATTATGTTTTTACCCTTCTCAGATTTGTCGATTGAGTATGAAAGGAAGGAAGAAGAGCTTGTGATGTACAGGTATGGTATGCTGTATATTCTTTCATATATCATTCTGATTGTTAAACTGGTGTCATTCCCTGTCTCACTAGCATATATTACTTGTATTCACTCACAGACTCACTGAACAACATGAACGGAATGCTTCTGGAAGTGTGTAATGTACCGTTGTAAAAGAACGGAAGGCAGATCCGTTGGATGTGAAATCAGAGAATGGAGGGACGTTCCGTTGAATGAGAAATCAGAGAATGGAAGGTGAGAAATTGGAGCATGGCAGATGAGAAATTAGAGGATGGAAGATGAGGAATTAGAGCATACAAGATGGGAAACTAGAGCATGGTGTAATAGCCAGGCCTCCACATTAGACTCTATGTTATAAACGTACTCTTAATAGTACGAGTAACTTAAGTCTCCTAAATGGGTTTAAATAGTTTTATTAATTAATACCTTTTCCGTTTTACATATCAGATATTTGGACGAAGCCATTAAAAGGCCCCAGTAAAATACCAAACATAAGAGTTGGTCTAGTTCTATTAATAGAGCTATATTTACTTTCCAACTTTATTCATATCTGAATACTTCGGTAGCGAGATGGCTCAACCGATTATAGGTTTCTAGGGACTATAAACATTACCTAGTTGAATCTCCGATCAGCCAACCAGATGTGTCAGTCTGATGAAGGCTAAGTCGGTAATTCTTGATAGTAGCAAGCTATTGGTTAAGACTATAACTAAGGACATCAAGGGTTATGGGTCAAAAAAGCGAGAAATGAAAAACGGGTCGAAACATTAAGTAACATAATATATAGTTAATGTTTCTAAAGCGGAGAAGTTAAGCGTTCTCGGTTACCCTGTGAGTTTTGGGTTTAGGTCCAGTAGGTCCGTGTGTTATTACCCAGGCCTCCACATTAGACTCTATGCATAAACGTACTCTTAAGCAGTACGCAAATTATAAACGTACTCTTAATAGTACGAGGAACTTAAGTTTCCAAAATGTACTCTTATTAGTACGAGGAACTTAATTCTCCTAAATGTGCTCTTAAAAGCACTAGGAACTTAAGTTTTCTAAAATAGTTTTTAATGGTTTCAATAATTAAACCTTTTCCATTTAACATATCAGATATTTGGATGAGACCATTAAAAGGCCTCAGTAAAAAACCAAACATAAAAGAGTTGGTATAATTCTATTAATAGAGCTTTTATTTACTTTCCAATTTTATTTATATCTAAATACTTCGGTAGCGAGATGGCTCAACCGAATATAGGTTTCTAGGGACTATTAACGCTACCTAGTTGAACCTCTGATAAGCCAACCAGATGTGCCAGTCTGATGAATGCTAAGTCGGTAATTCTTGATAGTGGCAAGCTATTGGTTAAGACAATAACTAAAGACGTCAAGAGTATTTTTATTTTATTTCTTTTTTTCTAAAGATAGGATTTTATGAGTCTCTCGGATTCGCCCCAGAATATAGCGACAACGAAACATTAAATAAAATCCCTTCGGCGGAAACCGTACTGAGAGAATTATATATAGGCAATGTCTCAGCCTCACAATCCCTCAGAGTATTGATGTTTTCACGAGGCAAACCTAACTTTACTAAACGTCTCATTTCGTATATTTATATCGATATTTACACGATATATCGAATTTACGTACGCGTTTATTTATTCTACGGCATTGGTAT